ATGTAACTTTTCCCTCTTTGATTGGTGGTTTTCAATACAGTGAAACGATTTTCGTTTTGAAATTTATGATGTGTGATCACCTACATGTGGCACACACTTTGATTTGTTTTAGTCCTGGGCCATTTTGTTTTTCAAATCAAAATTTGCCACTGCTGGTGATTTCATTCAAAGTGCAACCATCATTAGTCATAATGTCATATTAAGTTGTGTTGATATTTACATCATACCGGCAGACCATTCCACTCTGGTTTTATTTTTCATATATACCTATCTGAAGAGATAAATTGTGAGTTACTAGATCATATTTAAAGTCATTTGTGATGCAATGAAAATGTCTACTCTATGGAGTTTGGGATTGTTTTGACTAGTATTTTAATAAAGGATATTAATTTGTCCAGAATTTGGTTCTGACTTCCGAGGTATAATCTCATCTTAACCTTTCAACTAAAAAGTTATCATTGGATTATCCAATAACTTATAAAAATATGGTACAGGATCATTTTTCATTTTTTAACGAAGAACATGGCTCCCACATGATACGAAAGCAATAAAGAGAAGGGCAGGGTTCATGAAAAAGATCAGACTCATTATGTGAGTCTAAAATAGGCAACATCACCTTATATTTAAGCATGATAAAAATGAAAAATGATCCTTGGACATATTTTTATAAGTTATTGAATGATCCAATGGTAACTTCTTTGTTGAAAGGTTAAGATGAGTTTATACATTGGAAGTCCGAGAATCAAATTGTGGACTAATATCCTTACTTATTAGAATAATAGTCAAAAAAAAAAGAATACTAGTCAAAACAATCCCAAACCCCATAGAATAGACATTTTTATTGCGTCACAAATGACTTTAAATACAATCTAAAAACAAACAATTTATCTCTTCAGGGATATATGAAAAATAAAATAGAGTGAAATGGGTCTGCCAGTAAGATGTTAATGTTTGCACTGTAGCTATTTGAAATATCAGCACAACTTAATTATACTAATGATGGTTGCACTTAACATCACCAGCAGTGGAAAATTTTGATTTGAAAACAAAATGGCACAGGACTAAAACAAATCAAAGTGTGTGCCACATGTAGGTGAACCATTATAAATTTCAAAACGTAAATCATTTCAATGTATCAAATACCACCAATCAAAGAAGGAAAAGTCAAAAGTTCCTTCATTTGTTGTTTGCAACAAAGCAATAAACACCTGCTACTAAAATGCTCACAATAACAAAGGGTAACTTGAATTGATAATATGTTCTAGGAAGAGCAAGCACAGAAACAAGCTTACATCTACTAAGAGTTCTTCCGGAACTGGTAGAGCTGCCGAGTGGGTCTGGGAAATTTTTTCAAGAACATGAGTGCTTATGATGGGCTATTAGTCCCTTTGTTAACATTAACTATCCCAGCCAAAATAAAATCATTAACAAGATAATGCTGCTTTTGAAGACTTCATATTGCTTGTTTTTTCTTATAACAATATAACTCACAAAAAATTAGCTACAATGTAAAATTTTAACATGAAGTGTTTTGCACATCAAAGGCCATTGAAGTGGTAAATGAAAATATTCTAGGAATTTAACATCAAACCAAAAGAACCTGCTTCATAAAAGATTTGTCACTCAGTTGTATAAAAATTAATCTTTCAGTTTATATTGGTTAGCACAAACTTGACATATAATAAAAGGAACGCAAATACAGAAAATATTAGCATTGAACAAGGAAAACAGAAAGACAAGATGGAAATATTTTTTGAGACTGGGTAAATGTATTCTGCAAAATTTATCACAACCAATGAATGTGACTCCAGGCATCCGCAAGAACTGAGTCATATAAATTTTATAATGCACTCAAAATAGCATACCTCATTATTTTGTTCCCGCAACATCTGATAAAAAATAGGAATAATCCAATCCTCGAATTTGCAATAGTAGTCATTAGGGACCAATAAATTAACAATTCGATTCAATCTTTTTGAGTGCAAATAGGCTCCAGGCAGAGAGAAATCATATTTATAAGTTGGTGCCAGGCACTTCATAAGATCTTTTTCAATGCCACCTGTAGTTGTAACAACTACATCAACCTGTAGAATAGATGCATCAAAATTAATAACTATGACTAGAATTTAATATTTAAAAAACACTTGCTTTAGCCACTTACTTTTCAATTGAATAAGTATAAACTCTTATCATTGTTTCACAAAAGAAACCAGGAAGTTCAAATATATATATATATATCTAACAAAGGGATATTGCACGAACCAGTAACCAGTACAGGTGATGCTATACAGTTATACACCAACTAAATACCCGGTTCACTTCTTCCCAGGAACTGCGATCTCATACAACAAACCAAGTCTAAAAATTATATTTTTCATCCTTAATGCAGGTAAACATAAGTTACTACTCAAAAGCTAAAAATTAAATCTTTTGAAAAATAGGAAAACAAGTTGGTGTGGTTTTTTTCAAGGAAACTCACCATGTGATGCTAAACAAGTTACCGAACAGTATCTCTAACACCAGAAGAGATGAGATTAGAAGTGAAACACCAGAAACAATTTACACGTGACATATTTTCGGTAATCCAAATGCCTGTCGTCGTCACTGCAATCCTCGGTTAAGGGTTCATCAGCCAGACTCCAATCTAGCTTCAAACCCATATACCAAAAAATGCACAGATGAGAACTTTATGAGCAAAAGGGAGAAAATGACAAAAATTAAAGAGATGGACTGGAGAAAAATGAACCATATAAGTTTTTGAGATATATAGTCCCACAGTGGTTGTATGAGCAACTAATGTGGAGTTTATAAGGCTTTGGGCACTCTCACCCTTTGAGCTAGCTTTTGTGGTGGTGTATCCCAAGTTTCTTTACAGAAGTAAAGACTTAGATGACATCAGCGAGAAGCCTGAAACCAGTGGAAAGCATGGAACCGAGAAGCTGTGGATAATTGACGCCGCAGTTGAAGTCGTTGTAAAGAAAGAACCATGTTAAAAAGCTTGTTTTGAATTGGTTTTTTATAATGCTATTTGGAATTGGTTACGAGTAATATCCTTACAACCTTATTTTGTCATGAAATTAAATAAGTACGAAGTAAACCAAACAAATAGGCATGCACAATAGAACTTCACTAGCTCAAAAGGTAAGAGAGTCTAAAGTTTATATAAATTCTATATTAGTCACTTATATAATTAATGTGAGACTCAAGTTTTATATCTTGCAATCAGATTGTAACATTCCACAACAAGATGGCTTTGTGCTGGTCTTTCACTAATCCTGGGTAAGCACTACAACGACACAACGTTACCGCCTACGGTTTACTATTGCAACTGGGAGATACAATAGAAGACTTTGATACCAATTGAAACGAACCTTAAGAACCAGTGGTAAGCATGGAACCGAGAAGCTGCGGATAATTGACGCCGCAGTTGAAGTCGTTGTAAAGAAAGAACCATGGTAAAGAGCTTGTTTTGAATTGGTTTTTTATAATGCTATTGGGAATTGGTTACGAGTTATATCCTTACCACCTTATTTTGTCATGAAATTAAATAAGTACGAAGTAAACCAAACAAATAGGCATACGCAACATAACCTCACTAGCTCAAAAGGTAAGAGAATCTAAAGTTTATATTAATTCTATATTAGTCACTTATATAATTAATGTGAAACTCAAGTTTTATATCTTGCAATCAGATTGTAACATTCCACAACAAGATGGCTTTGTGCTGGTCTTTCGTTAATCCTAGGTAAGCACTACAACGAGACAGCGTTACCACCTACGGTTTACTATTGCAACTGGGAGATACAATAGAAGACTTTGATACCAATTGAAACGAACCTTAAGAAATTTCATCCCAAAAGTTAGCTCAAGAGATATGAGAAACCAAAGTTTATATAAACACCATATTTAAGCTGGTACGTACAAGGTCTTGTCTTGTGTTTTCTTTTCTATCTTGACTATTTTTGTAACAAAGAGATGGTACAGCAAAAGAAAGAAAAATTTATCGAGGAAGCTTGACCTCTTGCACAATACCAAACTAATAATTTCAAGAGTAACATTTTATTCTTCAAAGCTTCAGTTAAATAGACAATTACACATGAAAGTCAAATAACTTTACAATGCATAAAAATAGGATCTCCCTAAAACTATCTCTACCCACTTTGTTAGGCTTATGGAAACGGTCAAAACTTATTCAAATAAATTCAAAGGTAAGTCTAGTAACTAATTAGCAACAATAACAAAACAATGAAATAAAATAAATATAAATTATATTATACATATTAAAAATATTATTTAATATTAAAATGTAATTTTACCTATCAAAATAGGGCAAATTTTTAAAAGAGTAAATATCCTTTTTGATCCTCAACAAATTTTAGGATGCCCGTTTTAGTCTCTAGCAAATAAAAAGCTATTCGTGGTCCCTAAGAAATTTAAAATAGATCCATTTTAGTCCTTTTGAGAAACTAATGTAGATCTTTTTTGAATTTGTGAGGGACCACAATTTCAACTAAATGAGTCTATTTTAAATTTTTTAGGGTCCACGAATAGCCGTTTTATTTGCTAGGGACTAAAACGAGCATCGTGAAATCTTCAGAAGACTAAAAATGATATTTACTCTTTTTAAAATTAACACGTGATGATATCATGTTATAGCATATTCGGTATCTTGTGTCAGTGTCATTTTAAAATTAACACATGATGATATCATATTATAGCATATACGGGATCTTGGGTTAGTGTCAATTGCACTAAGTAGTGTCCATAGTATAAAAAATGATACATTATGTGACACGAGAATCTCATCAACTATATCGTATTCTTCACTTTTCCACGGTCAACAAAACCTACCCACCACGTCTCTGTTTCTGGTAACATTCAAATACCGGATTTTTTCTTTATCCAATGGTTAAAAGCCATTTTTTTCTCTCTTACAATTTGTCTCCTCCAAAATGATACTAGCCGCATAAATCAAAAGGTATCCTCTCACCACTGCATCCATTTACTTCTTCCACTATTTTAAAAATTACCATCACTTCTCCATCATCCTGGACTTGTGAACTGCATATCTATTCTGAACTCTTTGAAGTTATCACTGAAAATTTCAATTCAGGTATGCCTACATACACGTTTTCTTTTGTGTTGATCATGCCTAATAATATGTAGCAACTCTTCCAGGTCCAATGCTAGAAAAACCATAAATACATTTAACATTATAAAGTTTCTTTCAAGGCCAACATCATCAATAATTTCTATTTTCTAAGTCTGTATCTCAGAACAAAAGGGAATCATAGCCAACTACAATTTAGATGCACTATAATCTTATTGTGTGGGAAAAAGCAGTACCATACAAACATCTTAACATGAACTTGTAGTGTAGAATGCACATGACTTGATAACATCTAGGGTCTTTCTCTCAAAGCCTTATAGTTTTGGTAGATTGCAGAGAAATGGAAAACATTAAAGATCCATCAAGTTACCGCACTCCAGTCTTATTGCAGAGTGAGGAATTAATCAAGGTTTGTGTACAAACAATCTTATCTTGAAATTTTTAATTGTTTTCATTCATGGTGTTCACACACACACACGCACACACACACACAAATGCATCACTCATGTCAACATGTGTTGGTATCTAACTCAATGTTGACATGGCAGTATATACTGGAAACTGCTATTTACCCTCGAGAACCAAAGCCTCTCAAGGAGCTGAGGGATGCTACTCAGAATCATCCTTCATATTCATTCAGGAGCTTCATAGCTACTTCACCTGATGCGGGTCAACTAATCACCATACTTTTGAAGCTGTTGAATCCCAAAAAGACAATTGAAGTGGGAGTGTTTACTGGGTACTCACTTCTCCTCACTGCTCTCAACATTCCTGATGATGGAAAGGTTTGCTTATACTTCAATTTCCATAGATATCCCACCATGTCTAATTCAATACTGGGGGTAATTGCTTAGCTGAAAATTCATTGATGTTGCAGATCACAGCCATAGATATTGACAGAAAAGCTTATGAAGTTGGATTACCAGTCATCAAAAAGGCTGCTGTAGAGCACAAGATTGATTTCATAGAGTCCCCAGCTCTACCAATTCTTGATAAACTACTAGAAGATGTAAGCATGTTTATCTGTTCCCACTTCAAAGTTCACATTCTGACAGTGTTTCTTTTTCCTTATTGTTATGTTTTTCCTCAGCCTGCAAACGAAGGAACTTATGAGTTTGCCTACATTGATGCTGACAAAGAGAACTATGTGAACTACCATGAGAGGCTTATAAAACTGGTCAAGGTTGGTGGGTTACTTGTATATGACAATGTTCTCTGGGGTGGACGTGTTGCTTGGCCTGAAGAGGAAGTTCCACTACATGCCAGATCAGCGACGCAAGCAATTATTGAATTTAACAAAAGAATAACACAAGATTCTCGTGTTGAATTTGCTTTTACTTCCGTAGGGGATGGACTCAGTATTTGCAGGCGCATTGCCTGAGTTTTCTCCTAAAGTTGTTTGATTATCGGTGTCATATGTTTCAGTATTGTGAGCATTTTAGTATCCAGTGTTTCTATGTGTTTCTTTATTGTAACCAACAAATGAAGGAACTTTTGACTTTTCCTTCTTTGATCAGTGGTTTTTGATACATTGAAACGATTTACGTTTTGAAATTCATGATGTGTTCACCTATACATGAAGGTTTATTTCTGATCCTAGTGAAGCTCAAATTCATAATTTACAGAATGCCAAGGCTCTTGATTGATGGACCTTATGTAGCTCCAGCATAAGACTGCAAAAACTACCATGTCCTCCTTCTCGGGGGGCTAGGAATTAGCACCACCCCATTGATAGGTTTATGGGATAGGATCATATCTTATACCAAATCTTAATTATTGATTTCGGTTCACAAATAAACTTAACCTTAAATGAACGGAAATCAACGGTTACGATTTGGTATTACATAAATTTGATATTTATGTGAGGATATGCCACACTGCCATAATTAATTCTCTGATTCTTCTCTGTAATTTTTATTAGCTTGAGATCTTTCTCTTCAAGAAGATTGCATTTGACTAATTAAACATGGTTTTACAAGAATGACTCATGTGTGATGCCATCAGAAGTTAAAGACTTGCTTATTAAGCAAGGTACAGAAATCTGGCAAGGTACAGACTCTATGATAAGAGGCATGCATGGACTTGGCCATCCGCATTAACAATTTTTTATTGATTCGAGAAAATTGATCTTATGATCCTGTTGAGCCTTGTTAAGCCACTGTTTTTGTTCTACTACGTTGCTATTTAATTTAATTTATTGTATCACAAAAGAATCCAATAGTTTCTTTGCTCATTGTTGGAAGAAATGACAAAATCGTTTCTCACAATAGTGAAATTTTCACAGAACGATGAAATAAGCACAGATTCTGCGACAGTTTATTAGTTCATGCACAGCAAACAGGTAACTAAAATAATGTTATTACAGTTTTAGTTCATTGTTTATGCTACTTCTCTCTTTTCTTCTTCTCAATCCAATCTTTTCCCTCTAATTCTAAATAATATATTCTATTAAATACCAAAAAAATAATATATTCTATTAATCATTTCTAGGAAAATATAAAGTTATTTATTTAGGCTGAAATGTTTAAATTTAACTTTTATTGGTTTAATTTTTAAAAAAATTCATTTGATGGAATGTTATTCTCATTTCTTAAATAATAATGATAAAAATAGAAAGATTGTTGAATTTTTTTAGTGTAAAATTATTAGGATCTAGTTTATAAATTTAATTTAATTTTAAATGGTATGCTGTGATAATAAAGTAACAAAAAAAAAACTACTCTCCATTAAACCCGACTAACAAGTATGAGGTGAAGGAAATTTTTGTACGCAGCTTTACCCTTACATAATTTCAAAGAGGCTGTTTTCTGGATTCGAACCCATGACCTATACTCAATGCAACCTATACTTGTGCACGCTGAGGAGTAATTTTTATGAATAAATTTTTTGTATTTGAACATAAAGTAAAACATTATTTTGGTCCTTGAAAAATATATTATTTACCAATTTAGTCCCTAAAACTCTAAAATCCTGATTTTTTTCATTCATTACATTTATTTAAGTTTAATGTTATTAACTGTAAAAGCTTTTCTTGTAACATTAGAAGATGAAATAGTACATATAACTTAGTCACATTATTCTCACTTTTCTGTTGAGCTGATATTAATGGATGCATGCGAATGGTCAGATTATCACTTGGCCTCTGTTATTGCAAGCCGTGGAGCTGCGCTTCGCCCCCTCTCAATATGATGATCCAAAATGAGATTTGATTAAACTCATGCAAATGCATCAATTCGTGAATATCAATCACACTTTGAAGAACTTCAAAACTGCCACGACAAAGTGCTTTGTTATAATTGTGATGACAAGTTTCATCCTGGCCAAAAGTGCAAACGCCAATTTATGCTATTCATTGCTTCCCCGAATTGTGAACATTTCATGGGGAAATTGGTCCAATTACATGGGGTACCCATTAAACCAGCCCAAGAACTAAATTCACGCCAGTTATGTCGGTTGGCTTCCACGAATGCAATTGGTGAGCTCTAAGGAAAGATATAAATAAGTTAAGTTTTGTTTTAAATAGGTTAGGCATGTGTAAAAAATATTGGATCTGAGTTCTAAATTATAAGTTTGACCTGACCTATATTTAAAAAATAAAAGCTTTGGCCTAAGTCTGATAGCTTGTTTAAGCCTAATAAAAATTATTAAAAAATAACTACAATAATATTACTTCATTATTCAAAATTATTAAAATAATAATTTTATTTAAAATAAATAATATGATATAGGCTATCCTGTAGGTTTATAAGTCTGACATATATAAAAAAAGCCTATAACATGTTTTTTAAATAAATTTAAGCATGTTCTATTTTACTATTTATAATAAACTAAATCTAATTTAATATAAACTGCGCTATAGATCCCTGTAATTCGTCGTAACTCGTTTACACCCGTAACTCTAACCCACCTAAAATTAAAAGTTGAAACACTTCTACGTAGATTTGCCTCCCTGTTCGAGATGTCAAGTCCAATAAAGCATGAATTCGTGGACTTTTATGAGCTTTTGTTTCAGATTAGAGTTAGAACTTTAAAACCACTGATTTTTTTTTGGGTACAAAAAACCACTGATTTGGTTCCGTGTGTATGTTTGGACTTTGGAGTTTATTTTTTGATAAAATGTTTATTTTTTTTTAAAAAAAAAGTTGTCATTTTTTAATAAACTAATTCAAATAAATACTTCATAATTCAGAGAAAAGTCTATTTATATTTATACAAATACGATCTCCTCGATCGGTTCATACACATTATTTACAATTTATCAGTTTTGAATAATTCAATAAAAGTTAACATCAAAAGATCATAAAATAAATGTTGATTTAAACAACTCATTTTATACAAAATACTAATCTGTTTTCTTGGTGAGAAATGTGAAAACATTATTCAGATCTAAAAAGAAAAGATGACAGATGCGACTCATTAATGTCATTTTGTCATAAAACCAAATTAACTAGTGTGAGACAATGACCTCATAAGAATTTTTGTATTATTATTATACAAATGATGGTGAGAGGTTTCAATTTCAACCTCTAATTTTATGTAAATTATTAAATCCCTCATCATTGACCCACTTTTAGTAGCGTATGAAAACTATTATAATAGTTCGTTACGAGTTGGAAATAATTTGCGTTGAATAAATAAATATATGTCCAATTATTACGCATATAGATCCCTGTCCAAGAAATTTTCTTTATATTTATAATAAGAGAAAAATGTGTGTCATTTTAAAGGATATAAAGTTGTGTCATTTTAAAAGAGAAAAAGAGATAGATAAAGAAGGAGAAAGTTAATAAAAAAAAAAAATAACGGTGTGAGTTCCACTTCTTTGTAAGAGTAAAAAGATATAAGTTATGTCATTCAAAAGAATAAACACTTTTCCCTTGTAACAATATATAATGCCGGTTTTGAGAGCCGCCTCCTTTGACATCCAACAAAAAAAAACCTTTGACTGAAGACTTGGAAATAGAGTGGCCAACCCTCTCATACAACTATATTAAGAGCACTGAAATTTCCCCAACCAATGCGGTGTTCAAGTTCAGCTTCTAGCACATACTTCTCCAAGATCCTGTTGTTTTGAACTGCATATCTATTCTGAACTCTTTCAAGTTATCACTGAAAATTTCAATTCAGGTATGCCTATATATATACACGTACACTTTTGTACTAAGCATATGCCTTATAATATGTAGCAACTCTTCCAGGTCCAATACTAGAAAAACCATAAATACATTATATATTATAAAGTCTCTTTCAAGGCCAAAAACATCAATAATTTCTATTTTCTAAGTCTGTATCTCAGAACAAAAGGGAATCATAGCCGGCTACACTTTAGATGCACTATAATATTATTATTTTTGTCAGTTCATTAGTTGTGTGGGAACAAGCAGTAGCATACTGCATGCAAACATCTTAACATGAACTTGTAGGGTAGAAAGCACAGGACTTGTTAACATCTAAGATCTTTCTCTCAGAGCCTTATAATTTTGGTGGATTGCAGAGAAATGGAACACGTCAAAGATCCATCAATTTACCGCAATCCAGTCATATTGCAGAGTGAGCAATTAAATGAGGTATGCATGTGTACAAACAAACTTATCTTGAAATTTTTCATTGTTTTCATTTATGGTGTTCACACACACAAATATATGTATAAAAATCATTCATCACTCGTGTCAACATGTGTTGGTATCTAACTCAACATTGATGTGGCAGTATATACTGGAAACTGCTATTTACCCTCGAGAACCAAAGCCTCTCAAAGAGCTGAGGGATGCCACTCACAATCACCCTTGGTAATTATTCTGTCTGTTGTAATTGTAACTTATAAACATTTTAGACTAAATACCCTTTTCGATCCTCAGCAAATTTTGTGATGCCCACTTTAGTCCTTAGCAAATAAAAAAGTTATTCGTAGTCACTGGAAAATTCAAAATAGACCCATTTTAGTCCTTTAGAAGAACTAATATGGGTTTTTTTTGAATTTGTGAGGGACTACAATTTTAACTAAATGGGTTCATTTTAAATTTATTAAGAACCACGAAGCCTTTTTATTTGCCAGAGACTAAAGCGGGCATGATGAAATTTGCACAAAAAAGGTATTTACTCAACATCTTATAACAAAAGTAGAAAGGTTTCAAGTTTCAACCTGGTTTTCATATTGATTCAGGGGCTTCATAGCTACGTTACCTGATGCGGGTCAACTAATCACCTTACTTCTGAAGCTGTTGAATCCCAAAAAGACAATAGAAGTGGGAGTGTTTACTGGGTACTCACTTCTCCTCACTGCTCTCAACATTCCTGATGATGGAAAGGTTTGCATATACTTCAATTTTCATAGATATCCCAACATGTCTAATTCAATACTGGAGTAATTGCTTACCTGAAAATCCATTGCTGTTGCAGATTACAGCCATAGATATTGACAGAAAAGCTTATGAAGTTGGATTGCCAGTCATCAAAAAGGCTGGTGTAGAGCACAAGATTGATTTCATAGAGTCCCCAGCTCTACCAATTCTTGATAAACTACTAGAAGATGTAAGCATGTTTCTTCTGTGTGTCTGAGATATATCTGTTCCCACTTCACATTCTGACAGTGTTTCTTTTCTCTTCTTGTCATGTTTTTCCTCAGCCTGCAAACTTAGGAACTTATGAGTTCGCCTTCATTGATGCTGACAAAGAGAACTATGTGAACTACCATGAGAGGATTATAAAACTGGTCAAGGTTGGTGGGTTACTTATATATGACAATGTTCTCTGGGGTGGACGTGTTGCTTGGCCTGAAGAGGAAGTTCCACCACACAGCAGATCAGGGACGCAGGCAGTAATTGAATTTAACAAAAGAATCACAGAAGATTCTCGTGTTGAATTTGCTCTTACTTCCGTAGGGGATGGACTCAGTATTTGCAGGCGCATTGCCTGAGCTTTCTTATGAAGTTGTTTGATTATCAGTGTCATATGTTTCATGTACTGCTATTATATATTTGCTGTAGCTGCTTCCTACTTGAATAAAATTGCATTTTGTGTTCGTAATAAGTTTTTGGTTTGATGTTAAATTCCAATAAAAGTTTCGTTTAGCATTTCAATGGAAGTGGAGTAATTAACATAAGGCTAGCAGCCATTATGTTAATATGGAAAATGTTGGATTTGTTGCTCAAACTCTAACAAGGAACAAGTTGATTGTTGGATTATCCAATAACTTATAAAAATATGGCCAAGGATCATTTTTCATTTTTGAACATGCTTAAATATAAGGCGATGTTGCCTATTATACACTTATGAACCTTACCGAAGAACAGAGGTATTATAGCACCATGTTACCCTTTTATCATGCTTATCTCATTCCAATTTAGAAATAATAGTAAACAGCAAAAGCAAGTGTTATTTCAACTAGACTTTGCAATGCAATAGTAACAAACAGCTATAATTCAGTGAAAGGAATTACTTGTAACATTTCAACTTTTCTTCATCATGAAATACAGCCAGTAGTTAAAAAAAATATTAATAATACCATCATAAATGATCAGTAAGTTGATAAATTTTATAGTCTTATTTGCTCTAAATATTACAACCATCCTCGCCTCAAAAGTTAGAGAAACCACAGTCCCAAAGAAAAAATTATCATTACATCTATAAATATCATTACAACCATTCTTGGACCATTTAAATTCGAATTCATACATTTAAATTCAAACGTTCAAACATTTAAATTCAAAATTTAAATTCTAAATTTAAATATGTAATAATTAATTTAACTAATTAAATTAATTAATAATGTCTTAGATCATCCAAGCCCATTACATGTACCATGCGCCCTTTCCTTCTTAGGTGGGCTTCCAAACTTCTTCTTGGGCTAACAACCTTTATTAGGCCCAATACATTTAATGTTATATTCATCAAGACAATAAGGTGTTAGTGTGTGACTCATTAGGCCCAACACAGCCACTGACATAAATGGGCTTGGGCCCAACAAGCCCACAACCCATTTAATGACAACACAGAGCACTAGCAAGCAATGCTTTGTTGCCCCAGAGCTAGTTAGGTTAATGACATTATCATCCTATTACATATATTTGGTTACTATATGTATTTCCTTTCGTCTCGGTTACCTTCCCTTTAAACCTAGGGTGAGGAAATGTATCAACCCTTGTGGTTTAGGGTAAGCTTTAATTCGAAATAGGAAATCTTCAATTTACTGACTCTAAAGGCAGATCATCTCATGATCTCTTTTACTATGCATAGATTCCTGAGTCCTGTAAATGTCATCCCGATTTCTCCGATTTACAGATAACCTAATCCCTTACAGAGATTTAATGAATTCCTTCAGCTTATCACCCTAGGCTTGTGCTCTTTCAGGACATGCCCAAAAGTATACCTATGAGTCTCCATGTTTCAGGCAGACGAGGTATACAATCAAAACATGCCTTATAAAACACAGTCTAGGTGACAACTTATGGTCTAAGGAAAGACATACCCAGATATTAAGAGATTGCTCTAATGATACTTTTGTAAGATTTCCTCATAGAGTCTCTTTGTGGGTCTGTTCAGTGCGAGCTATACCCTTATAGGTCCACCCACGACTTTAGCTAAAACATCTCCATATCTGTAGCTCATGAGGTCTTTACCTTGTATCCGAATACAAGTAGATAAGATGTGCTAGTCTTACCCGAGATTATTGATCCCCATTCTCAGTGTCTCTAGACTAAGAACATAAAATTAGGAATAAACATCTGGTATCCTTAAATCCTCATGATCATGATCTCATCACAGATACTCAAGAGATACCTATTTTATTCCAAGGAGTTTATCCAATTACTCATATAATATATTAACAATAATATTGAGACAAAATATGAAACAGGATAAAGAGTGTTTATTATTTATTTGTCATAATATAAAAAGGTCCACATATGTCCTAATCTAATCAAAAGATTGTATTTAGGACATCCATATACTAACATGTTTTACATTCGAACTTTGGGTGATTGGACATAAATGCTTATTATCCCATAAACATGATTGATGCAGGCATGTCAACTAGCAAGTGATGACCAAAGTGGCCTTCTACGAGCTGATATGTTACAAGGAAACAACAAACCAAGGTCTTCTATCATAAATATCTAGATATCTACCAATGCTTGAGCCAATGTCTCATCGCTTGAGAAGTAACAACGAAGCACTCGTCCCCCAAACTTGGTATTATAAATGGGAAGCCATATTAGTGTTAAAACACAATATTTTTCTTTATTTTCTTTCTATTTTTCTTAAGCACTCTTAAGCTACCAAAATGTCATTTTAGGTGTCACTTTTCATTTTACACCATCCTAACATCATTTTTCCCATTTATTTCCTTCTAGGTTCAATACACAATCCAACACCATTCAATATTTTTCCATTGATTTTCAAAGCTTCCAGCCATCACACAACCCTTCTAATTAATCCAAATAATTTTTACAACATCACTTCCCTATGATTCTACATAAGGTCGAATTGCACATAGCCTCACACCAAAGGTTTTTTCAATTCAATTCAACTATTCCATACCTCATACAATCCTATTATTACATCATACAACTATACAACAACTCAATTACACAATTCTAAAACAATTCAAAATCACAAAGTGTTGGATTTCTCATCAAAATTTCTTAAGTTATGAGCACATTTTCTCAATAAATTTTATTGCATTTATAGCTCCAACACATCATTCTAAGACATATTTATCTAATACACAATTTCAATTTGAGCTCTCTAACTCCATAAATCAAGCATACAAGCCCTAGGTTTTCATGAAATCAAACTCAACAAATCAACCATGAGAGGCGCTAAAACTCACCCACAATTAAGTCACAAGGCTCCTCCAATTGATCCCTAAGCAAGGCTTAAGCAACAACTACAAAAACCCCAATTTTCTCCTCAGAATTTGTGGCTGAGTTTGTCTAATTTCTCACAAATGAGAGGTTTTCAAGGAAAACTAATCGGTGGAATGGGTTCGGGTGATGGTTTCCATCAAATTTGCTCACAAACTTTGGTTGATTTGGTGGTGTATAGAGAAAGTTAGAAGCAATTGAATTTTTTGAAGAAACTTCCCCTTTTTTCCAAGGAGAACTCAGCCCTTAGGAGAGAGAAGAAGAAAGAAAGTGATGATGAATAGTTACACACACATGTGGCTTAAGTGGTTTAAGTGAGGTGGGCCACACCGCCACCTCACGCGATTTCAAACTAATTCGAATTTTCCTCCGATTCCACTAAACGTCCAAAAATTCATAACCTATTTAGAAACTCTAATTTTTAACATTAACCATTGTCCTTTAATTACCCTTGATCAGATGAATCCTGAGTTTTCCTGCCGTTCGGAGAAACCGCAGTTTTAAGCTGTTACACGCGCTGTAGGCACGCTTCCCCAAACTCACTAATTTCCATCAAATTTCATCTGAAATTATATTTCCTAGTCCTATACACCATTTATAAATTATATCCAAAACCTAAAGCTCAAAATTCAATCGGCACGCTTTACGGTGCAACTGTACCGCGGTACTTTTACCCGGTAAAAATACTATTCACAGAATTTTCTGAAACATTCCTAACCACTCAATTTTTCGTTCTGAATCCATTTCCAGGCTTATTTTTATCATTTAAGACCTCCTACTCAATTTTACCTTCCTAGGGTTGTGTGTTTAGCTAATTACCGTTTTACCCTTCCTTTGTATTTTGACTTGATTTTCAAGATTTTCACTAATCCTTCCCTTTAATTCATGTTTAATATATTAATATATAACTTAGAAATGCGAGGTGTTATATTAGTATCTTATAAATTTTTAAGTCATTAATTTTTTAAGGCTAAAATATAATTCACTCTCTTGAACTTTTTGGATTGAGTAGCCCTTGTAAACTAAGTAAAGAACTTTGTGAACTATATCTCATTTCCATGGTGTTGACTAAAAGCATGAGATTGAACCACGTGGGTGGGCGTGATGGTTCAGCATCTCGTCCCTTAAGCAAGTGGTTGGAGGTTCGAACCCCAACTCTTGTGAATGGAAAGCATTTCGTGGCCAGCTCTTTACCGCTTTGTGCGCTGACCCGGTGTGAGGAATTAGTCTCATGGCTATCGGCTGTGGGGATACCCGGATGTAATCCAAAAAAAAAAAAAGCATGAGATTGTATGCAAACGTAACATCTACATAATGCAAGGTTCGGAAGACACCGTTCATGCCAAAAATGGTATCGTGCTTTAGTTTAATTAAATTGCATTTAACTATGGTAGTTAAATGGTTCAGATTATAAACTTTGACGAAAATGAATTGCGATTACTTGGGCGATTCTCAGGAATTTGCAAAGTTGAGTATATTATATCATTTTATAACAGTGCTCGCTCTATGATTTTAATAACTATTGCATCTCGTGTTCTTGTCATATTATATATCACCCAACCATCTCTTCTTCACGTTAAAATTGTTTAGGCTTGTTTCAGGTATCACTTCATACCCTATTCTATGAAATTTATCTTCTTGAATAAATTTATTATTAGTTTGTCATAGAAACAACTTTTCACTTTTGGATGAGTTTCACGGCATTTATGTACTTGAGATGTTTTAGGTAGTCATGCTACCACCTTGAAACCCTTTTACCATACTTTTGTAGGCTACTTGCAACATCTGCGGCTGGTGTTCCTCTACTGCTGGTGGCTTCCGCTACTTTCTACTGGGACCATTGCTATATAAACAAGTAATCATATATTAAATTTTGAGCTAAATTACATGTTTTATGGACAAAACTAATTTCTCTGAAGATGGATTATCTTTCTTTATTCAATGATTACTAGAAATAAAATTTGTAATAACATTTGTATATGTTCAAAGTCAACAAAAAATGAAGTTCTAGAAGCTGTTAATTAATAGCATCAGGACATTACCTGCTAAGACAGTTATAGCTGATTATGAGTGTAGAGGGCATAATAGTGTCAATATAAGACAAACTTTTTCCCAGTGTATTGAGAGATAACTTAGAGACACAGATTTGAAAGGTAGTCAATGTGATGCCGTAAACACCATTAGCAATAAATCATAATTGTGTAAGATGGTAAGAAAAACCATCAGTGTAATTCCTATTTTACACTTAGAAAGCCAAAGATAAACTATTTACTTGCATCAATACAAAAAATATATACAGATGATGTTGTTTAGCGTAAACGAAATTCACGGTTAATATATACACACATCATGTGCCAAATTGAAATGAAAAATTTGGAGGAAATAAAATTAGTATGCGACAAAAGCATCCCTACCTTATTTAATTTTATTTTTTTATCATTAAAAATTGGTTAAAAGTTTAAAACTGTACCAATCCTTTGTGTTTTTTTTAAAAAAATAAGAGTAAACACTTCTTTTTGGTCCATGACAATATTTACGAAATCCTTTTTAGTCCCTGACAATAAAAAAGGATCAAATTGGTTCCTAACAGTATGCAAAAAGGGCCACGTAGGTGATGGAGGAGTTGACATAAAGACTAATGTGGTCCTTTTTTCATAATTTTAGGGACCAATTTGATCTTTTTTTATTGACAGGGACTAAAAAGGATTTCGTAGATATTGCCATGGACCAAAAATGGTGTTTACTCTTAAAATAAAATAGAGGAGGCTTTGTTGCGTCCCATTAATCTTAGCCTAGACAGAACTAGAAAAAAAAAATTAAGTGAATTGGACAACATTAAATGATTGCATATGATTTTTGGTAATTATGTTATTATAAGAATTTTTAAAAAAATATTAGAAATTTGAAGGTGTTACAAAGTGGTATCAGAGCCCTTAATTTGTCTTTGGTTGCTCTTAATACTTACTCAAGGGATCAAAGATCCCAAAGTTAAATAAATAAACAAGTACATAAATAATTTAAATAAGTGAAACAATAAGGCAAAAAAATTAAAAAATTAAAAAATTAAAATTAAAATAAAAAATCATGAAAGTTGGATAGTGAAGGGGTTTCTTCTTGTTCTTTTGATGTGCTTTAGTTTTGAAATTTTGATGTTGATAATTTTCTGGTGATATGGATAAGAACATTTACAAGAGATTATTACAATTACTATTGACTTGTAAATTTTGTTCTAGCAAATGGAAAATGTAGTGAGAAATGTTAGGGAGGTGATTAGGATTGAGCCATCAATGTACAAATGAGATGAACGAGTGTCACCGGAGAAGAATGCCTTACGCTTGTGGATCCTTATTTAAACCATTAATAGAGAATGCGGACCATGCAAAATTAGCCATGACTACTGGACTATATACCTTATTAGGGAACTTCCAAAGGACGAAAGTCTAGGATGGGTAAGAATAATGTTAGAAAAGAAAATCCCTCAAAGTGGTTGGTTTCTTTATGATTACCAACAAGTGATACAGTTCGTAAGCGAAATTGAGAAGAAGGTTCGAGAAATTGAAACTACGGTCAATAGGACATTAACGTACTCTGTACATAATAAACATCCACGACCACAAAGTAAAAACAAGAAAGCAAGGACACTAGCCTAAATATACCCTCGTAGTATGTTAAAAGATGCATCATGAAGTTGTCAAGATAATTATGAAGAAAGGCTTAGGATGTTAGAAAAGCCTTCACCCTCATTCCTTAGAAAATATTGGGAACATGAGTAGATGGGTAGAATTACCTATAGGCTAAGGGGCTCCTTCTAGATGTAACCTTTTTTTTTTTCTTTCTTGAAGCCAATTTCAAAGAGAAGTTTAAAATAATGTTATGAGATAATGAATGATGTTGTTGGTTTATCACTTGAATCTATATTGCATTATCTAATATCACTACAAGAAAATTAGCTTTCATAGGCGGTTGTATTAGCATATCGAGGCAGTTCAAACTGCCTCTAATTGCTTCAGTAGGCAATTAATGAACCATTGATGTTACCACCGTTGCAAGGCAATCTAGGGCGGTTTTCATGAACCGCTGGAATAACCGCCTCTAAACGACACTCTGAAGCGATTATTTTAACCGCCTCTGTAATGTCCCACATTGGTTGGAGAGGAGAACGAAGCATGCCTTTTATAAGGGTGTGGATACCTTTCCTTGTAGGAGGCCTTTTGGGGTAACCCAAAACGTAAAACCGTGAGCTCGACGGTGCTTGTGCGCGGGGCAAAGCGGACAATATACTGATACAGGGTTTGGGGCTGTTACAGTTGGTATCAGAGCCTGGCCCTGGACTGTTGTGTACAGCGGGGACGCTGTATTCCCAGTGGGGGAGGATGTAATGTCCCACATCGGTTGGAGAGGAGAACGAAGCATGCCTTTTATAAGGGTGTGGATACCTTTCCTTGTAGGAGGCCTTTTGGGGTAACCCAAAACGTAAAACCGTGAACTCGACGGTGCTTGTGCGCGGGGCAAAGCAGACAATATCCTGCTACAGGGTTTGGGGCTGTTACAGCCTCGAAAATAAATTATGAGGCGGTTATATTAACCGTTTCCAAATAACTTGTAACCGCATCCAAATAACGGTTAACTGTGTTGCCTCAATAATGTGTTCAAGTTTTTCAAAGACAGTTAAATCGCTTCTCTAATGGTTTTGTACAATGCAGTTTTTTACTATGACACAAGCTTTATAGTATCAAGCTTAAGTGTCTTTGATGGACTCTTCAATAAGTCTCTTGGTGTGTACTTGTATTCTTATTATAGGTGTATATTAGTGTTGGTTCTTACATGGAAGGAAATGGAGAAGGAGGAGCAAGGGTCATCCATGCTATTTAAATTATGTCTAAAATAAATTCTGAATATGATTTTTAAGCAAACTAAAAAACTTGATATATCATATTTGCTTCTTAAGTTCAATTTGTTGTATTTCTCATAACTCTTTTAATGTTGAGTAGATACTATGTCAAAATGTAATCTGGTACAAAATCCGAAATAAATTTTTATGATAGATTTCAGGACAGTGCTGGTTTGAGAATCTTAGCTTTTATAAATTGTCAAGAATCTTAGATTTTGTAAGTTCAACGTTCATTATGATATGTAACATTAAGTCTAACACCCTTATCATAGTCCATCGGCATTAACAAATTTTTCTTGATTCGGGAAATTTGATATTATGATCCTATTAAGAACCATGGTGTGTAACCACTAACCACGTTAAACGCCCTCATTTTATTTTGGTTGTCGGATTGGGAATGGTTTTAGGGATTTTCTTTTGTATTTGGTTTTTACAGTGTGAAGGGAAAACATCGGAAACCGTTTGAATGAAATCAACTGAACAAATGAAGTAGTATTTCACTTGTGTCAATTGGCAGTTATAAGACTAGGATCAGAAGAAAGTTAAAAATTTAACTTCTACACGTGATAGGATCCATTCTCTCTATAACTAGCTTTTGAGTTGCCGACGGGTACTGGGAATTGCTTGTTGTGTCTACAGCTTGAGTTTACGCAAAAATTAACAATGTCAGGCAAAATTCTTGAGCAATGTTTGTGACTAAACTAAAACAGTAACTTGCAAAACATCAGTAGTTGATAAAATCTAGAGTTAGTGACAATGAATAATGATAATACATGATGACCTTTGTCACCAATGGTCCTTACAAGAACAAGTACCTTTTTCAAAATGGTGGAACCGATTCGTATCTCTTAATACAATTAGTCTCTTAGTAATTCTTGAAACAGCCTTCATCCATGAGTGACAATCGACACAAACCCGAAGATTCTTAGTAATCCTGATTGGCATTCCAGCAGCAGTGTGGATGAGTGCAAATACAGCTGCAAGCCGTTCACTGTGCCCACAAACCCATATTATCTTCATCTCTTCATTTATATCATGAAGAACGACATCTGTGTTAGGGATATATCCTGAGTCCTTAATGGCATTTGACAACTCATTCCAAATTTTCAAATACTCAGCAGAACTACGAAAATCATAGCTCCCTCCGGCAACAAATGTATGAATTCTATGCTTTATCTGTATCCAGCTACATCCAGCATCTTTCTTAATGCCCCTTATGGCCATCATTTCCCTAACTCTCTTAACACCTTCCCACATCCCAGCATTTGCATATATGTTTGAAAGCATCACATAATTTCCTGGATTGTTAGGTTCGATTTCAAACAACCGCTCCGCAACTGTTTCTGCAAGAAAAACATGACCATAAAGCCGGCACGAGTTAAGCAATGATCCCCAAATGCTGCCACTTGGTTTCATTGGAATATTTTCTGCCACATTTAATGCCTCATCAAGTTTCCCCGACCTGCCTAATATGTCTACCAAACAAGCATAATGCTCTAAAGATGGATTCACCTCATAATCTTCCATCACATTAAACAATCTTTGCCCCTCACTAGTTAGCCCTGAATGGCTACAACCTGACAGTAAGGCAACAAAGGTAATACCATCTGGTCTAATGTCAGATCTTATCATTTCATCAAACAAAGCAATCGCTTCTTCTATTTGCCCATTGATTGAATATCCAGCCAGCATTGTATTCCATGATGTCAAATCCTTGCTGTGCATTCTGTCAAATACTTTTTTACAATAACCAATTGCTCCACATTTGGCATACATGTCCATCAGTGAGTTAAGTAAAGGTACATCAGCTTTATTCCTGGACTTCAAAATCTGTCCATGTATCTCCTTCCCAGTATGAAGTGCAGTGAGTTGAGCACAGATTGGCAACAATGTTGTAAGGGTAATCCAACTGAACCCTATTTCCTCTCCCTGCATAACCCTAAAAGCATCAAGTGTCTCAAACACTCTATCTTGACCAGCAAAACCCGCAATTAAAGTGTTCCAAGACACCACATTTCGTTGAGGCATTACCCCAAACACCCTTAGGACATCATCAAAGCACCCACACTCCACATAGAACCTCAAAAGCGCATTGTTCACAACTTGATCAGTTTCTTCATCATGCTTCACGATTTGGGCATGGATTGCTCTGCCTACCAATGCATCAGCCAAATCAGAACAGGCCTTGAGGGCCATGGAGAAAGCGAAATTGCCGGGCTGAACACACCGTGACAACATCTCACGGTAAAGAAGCAATGCTTCCTTGAAAAACCCATTTCTCGAATAGCCAATAGCCATAGCTACCCACACCGATTCTGGTAGGTTCTCATCGCCAATTCCGTCTTGGAACACACGGCGAGCCTCATCGACTCTGCCACAAACAGAGTACAGCGTGATGAGCTTGCTCTTCAACATGGGGTTCTCCAAGATTGTGTCTTGAGAGCGAAGCAAGTGAAGGTAGAGTTTTTGGCCATGTTCCAATGACCTTCTGCAAATGCAGGCATGGAGGAGGAGAGATATATCTTCTTCATTGGATGTGAGCTTTGAGGATTCGATGAGGCGAAGCGCCTCGTTCAATTTGCCCAATTTGCAGAGAGATTTTAGGGTTGAATTGAAAGGTTTTGTTTGGTGTTTGTGAGTGTTTGTGGCTCTGGGTGTGGAAGTGACAGTTATGTTCGTTTTGACAGTTATGTTGGTTGGAAGAGAAATGGCGGGGAACATGATGCAGCGGAAAGAAAGGAATCGTGGTTGTGTTTTTTTTTTTAAGGTTAGTTCAGTAACTCCAATGAAGGTGTCAACTGTGTAGAGAAACTCCAATTACCGTTTCTTGGAGTATTATTTATGAATAATACTTGTGGCAGGAATACAACAGACACAATACGAGATCAAAGAGAATGTTTTGATGAGAGGGAATACTTTTATTTTTTTTTGTCTATAACAGAAGTATTATTTGTGGCAAAAGTATTATTTCTACCACAATTGCAAAAATAATACTCCTTTTTCCATATTGTACTCCTCCTTGTGGAGCTCATTTGGTATGAGCAGCTCATTTGGTATGAGCGGGACCTTGTGGTCCATTTCCAAAATTAGAAAGAAAAAAAGATTGGAAGAAGATTTAAAAGGAAGAGTATAAATGGAAAGAAAATTTCTCTTTTTTATAAAGGACCATCAAATAAAAGTGTGCTCCTGAAGCACATTAAAAAAGTCTCTCTCCTTGTGCTCACTTCAGTTGTGTTATATGATGGTTATACTTATACCCCTTCAATTTGGAATGCTTCTTAATGATATTTTATATTGTATAATAGGGTCAAATTATAATTTTTTGTTTACAAATTCAATTATATATTCTAAATAATGCAAATACTTGAATGTGTATTCTCCAAAATATATAATTAAATTAGTAAGAATTTATAAACAAATTTTGTAAGTATAACCCTCTCCTTTATAATAATACCAAATTTTGTTTGAAGACTGCCGAAGTTCATTGCCATTACGGCTCACCAATTTGGTATATTTTCACTGTATCAAACGTTCATACTTTTTGCTAGGTAGATGAAGTTAATTATTAAAAATTCACAAAATCCAGCATTTCATGAAACTACACTACCTTAATTATAGGGATTCTGCAACAACTCAAACAATACACCTAAAATCAACAGTACACCTCTACAATTGAATGAAAAGCAATACAGAATTCAAAATAATAATTTGATTAAATTTATAAAACTCAGTATTCTTTCAATAGGATGTAGGTAGGGAAAGAATAACCATGAACGTAACTCTGGGTTAAAAACCAAACTACAAGATAAATTTTTATACTATGATTTTGGATATAGTGAATGTTCTTTTAAAGGACACAAAGTTATGTCATTTCACCCCTTTATAATTATGTACCGGGAAATACATAGTTATAATATTAAAGTTTTTTTTTTCTCTCTCTCTCCAGACACTTTTTAGATATGGAAAGAAAAAGAAAAACTTTAATATTATAACTATATAGTTCCCAGAGTACATAGCTATAAGAAATGAAAGGACATAACTTTGTGTCCGTTTGAAAAGACAAATACTTTTCCTTCTAATTTTTGACTCAACTACTTCTGGAATAAATTGTAATAGCCACTTGCAGATCGGTAATCACGATCATAGATCTGCTCTGCCAGGATAACGAGGGAAGGGAATCACGTCTCTAATATTTTCCAGGCCAGTGGCAAAAAGAATCATCCGTTCAAAGCCAAGACCAAATCCAGCATGTTTCACAGTTCCATACCGCCTCAGATCAAGGTACCACTCATATGGCTCAAGAGGCAGACCCATCTCCTTTATTCTGCAATATAAAAATAATATAAATTGGCAGAGGAAAGAGATCACATTTATATGCCATATATTATAAACAGACATATTACGAACCTTTGCTGAATGACATCATAACGCTCTTCTCTTTGGCTTCCACCAATCAACTCTCCAACCTGAAATTATTTACACACTTTTATTTTGCCAACAAAAAAGGCCAGTTGGGTAACTAGATATATAATCAGTAACCAGGCAACAACATCAAATATACAGGATACAAACCTTTGGCACAAGGACATCCATAGCAGCCACTGTTTTAGAATCATCATTGAGCCGCATGTAGAATGCTTTGATTTCTTTTGGATAGTTATAGACAATTACAGGCTTCTGAAACTTTACCTCTGTAAGGTATCTGCATAACACAATGACCCCTAGACATCATTTTCCCCAAGTCAATACGAACAAGAACTTGAAAACACAAACTGAAAAAATACCTTTCATGCTCAGATGCCAAGTCAATCCCCCATTTCACTTCATTGTCAAATTTCTTACCATTCTTCACGGCCTCCTCTAGAATTTCCACTGCCTCTGTATACGAAACTCGAATAAAGGGAGTGGAAGCAACCATTTTCAAACGATCAATGCAACCTTTATCAAACTTATCAGCCATAAACTCCATATCTTCTAAGCAATTGTCAAGCAACCACTGACACATAAATTTCACGTATGCCTCAGCGCAGTTCATGTCATCCTACACAATAATGCAAAACAGTGAACTTCATTATCTTCTGCCACAAGAAATGCAAAAGCAACCTACATAGGACTAGATGAAGTATGCAGTTCAAGGTAAGTTTAAAATTAAACATTTGAATTGACATTGAACAGATAAATATACCAATATAGCGACAAACATGAAACTATTGAGATTTGAGAACGAGTTAAATATTCATATACCTTCAAGTCAGCAAAGGCAATTTCTGGTTCTACCATCCAAAATTCCGCCAAATGCCTTGAAGTGTGAGAATTCTCCGCGCGAAATGTTGGGCCAAAGGTATACACACTACCAAGAGCACAAGCATAGGACTCAACTTGAAGTTGGCCCGAAACAGTGAGAAACGCTGGACGGGCAAAGAAATCTCGGGCATAGTCCACCTTTCCATCCTTGTGAGGAATGCCGGGTTTAACTTGAGATCTCTCCTCCACCTTGGAGAGATTCTCCTTTGCTTTTTTAAGTTCATCCACAGAAGCACTAATTTCCTGCTTACTCGCTTTAGCAGACTTCAATTGGGAAACAATCTCCCCTTTCTCCTTAACAACAAGCCTGGCAGCTTCTACGTCAGCTTCCGTCGGAGGAGGGTTCTGTATCAGCTCCTTCTCCAATTTCTCCACTTCATTAATCAAAGTTGTGACTTGAAACATCTCACCAGCACCCTCACAATCACTCGTGGTGATAATCGGCGTGGGCACTTCAAGAAACCCGTGCTTGTGGAAAAATGTTTTCGTCGCATAAGCAAGTGCATCTCTGATTCGAGTAACTGCAGATATCTGCAATATTATTCAGATGCCGCCGTTATTACATATTAGTAATAATGAGTCTGCTGTTGCTTCTGATTTAGTTGCATAGTTAGTTACGTGTGTGTGTGTGTGTGAGTTACCTTTCTGTTATACTACAGTTAGTTGTTAGCTTTCTGTTACCTCTCTGTTATACTACAGTTAGTTGTTAGCTTTCTGTTACCTCTCTGTTATACTACAGTACAGTACAGAGCCTATATGTCAGTGAAATTCAGAGTTCATAACAGCTGTTAATAACAATAATCAAGAAGCATGATTAGTGAGAATGAATGAGTATGTATTGAGTATTGGATTTAATTTACCGTGTTGGTTCGACAACGAAGGTGAACGAAGTCTCGCAAGAACTCGAGGGTGAGTCTCATCTTCGGCAAGGGGTACTTGCCGGGATCGACGGGACCAACGTGGATGAGCTTATCGGCGCGGAGCTCTATCTTCTGCTTGGTGCCGGAAGGAGGGAGTTTCAGGTGGCCGTCGACGACGATGCAGGTTCCGGTGGGGACAACTTGGGAAAGGTCACCGAGGGAAGCTTCAACGATGACCTGGAGGTTACCGGGACAGGAACCGTCGTTGAGCTCCAAAAATGCGAATGCGTCCTTGTCGGCCTTCCTTCCGGTCTTGACCCAACCGCCTACCCTCGCCGTCTTCCCCGCCAGCCCCGCCCCACCGTCCGGCCGAGAAATTATCCATCGGATCGGGACACGATCCGAGAACTCCGCTTTCGCAATCTCACCTGAAGTTTCCGCCAATTGGTCCGTTGTAGGTTCTGCCATTGGTGTCGGAAATGCTTGCTTCTTCCCCAAACTGTAGCTTTAGCGGCACACTCTCACTCTCACCTCTCAGTTTAACAAGACCAAATAACCCTAATTTTAAATTTCTACCAATTAATATAGAAAAAAAGTGTTTATCCTTTAAAATATTTAATTTATATCTTTTTATTTTTTTAATTTCATAAAGAGGTGCACTTATACTTTTATTTTTATTTTTTTGTTAATTCTCTTCTATTTTTTTAGTTATTTTTTCTTTCTTTTAAAATGATACAATTTTAGATCCTTTAAAATAACACACATTTTTTCCATTAATTTAAATTAGCCGAAATAAATTATAAATTGTTTTAGTATGTTACTCGTAGGATAATTGTTCGTTTAAATCAGAATATTTTATTATTTATTATTTATTCTCAAAATAATTATAAAATTTAAGATATTATTTAACATTAAATCAATTATTAATTACTTAGAATATGATTCGAACTTAATAACAAAAAATATATAACTGGTTTAACTTTAAAAACTTAAACCTACCACAAATAATTTTTAAAATTAAAGATGTTTTAAACCGTCTTAAAAACATAATTATACGTTTGTTTAGAAGTATCGAAACAGGTCTGACCACGGATCAATCTGTTTGACCAATGTACTTTTGATGAATTGGGAAATGGATCCTTTCGGTGTGAGAAAAAAAAAATGATATAGTGACGTAAATTAATAGTAATAATTTTGTAATTATTTATTTTTTAAGTGCTTCAGTTGCTTTTTGTATAAACTCATTTTCTGAAATGTTCAGTAATAACATAGAACTACTTTCCTTTCTCTTTTCTCTCTCTCTTCTGGTTTCTCTGTTTACAATACGTTGTACTCTTCAAAATTTAAGACAGGGTTTCAATGCTCAGTGATAGCTTCCCTTTTTTTTTTTTTTTTGGTAAACAATAGCTTGCTTATTTAACCTAGCTTTTATCCGGATTCAGAATCTCAATTTGTTAATAGTTCTGTTGCTTTTGATATTGAGGCCACTTTGGTCGATATGATAACTTATTATATTTTCTTCTATTTAATTTTTTAGAAATTTAATTTAATTTGTTAACTAGTTTTATCTTATTCCGGTATTAATAAAGGAAAAAATTTCCATGTCATACTCATGTAAAAGTGAGTGAATCCTACTAATATCTTCTTTTTCTCTTTACAATAGAATTCATTCACTTTTATGTAAGCGTGACAGATAAAAAAAATTTACCATAAAAGTAGAAACATTAAAATCTTTAATAAATTATTTTAAAGAAATTTTAATAAATTAAAATCTTCTCAAAATTGTCATGTACAACTTGCAACTTCCCTAAAAGGAATTAATGTTTTTTTAGATAGTTGTATTTTTTTGTACTCACATGAAAGTGGGTGATTAATTTTTTTTCCTCTTTCTCCCTTCTTCTCTCAAATAGCTTCATATATTTTTATGTGAGAACAGAAAACATCATCACCTCCAAATTAAATTATTTTATTTGCACAGCTTACCAAAAAAAAAAATTATTTTATTTGCACATGATTATAAATTAAATTTTTTTTCATTAGTATCATTCAAAAAATTTATACATCGACAATTAATTATTTTTAGTAATTTATTTAATAAAAATACTATTTTAGATATTATGTAAGTTGTTTAAAATATGTTTTATTTTAAAAAATAAAACAGAATCTAATATATAAATAAGTTAAAAGAAAAAAGTGATATAAAATTAATTTGAAAAATTACTTAAAAACATATTATTAAAGATATTCTTATTTATTTATGTTACAACATGACCCTATTGGATTCAGATAGGTTTATTTAATATTAATATGTTACTTATTAAGTATGCTTTAAACAAGAGACTTATCGTGGATATTATTATTTATTTATTTTTTTGTAAATATGGATATTATTTTTCATTCTAATTCAATTCTCTTATTTTGTTCGCCCTTATTTTACTCTGTTAACCAAACAAGCCTAGAAACATATAACTTCTAAGAAAGGCTTAATACGTGTTTTAATAACAATTTAATTTTTTAACAATAGAAAATAATATTAAAATAATTTTTATTATATTATAGTAATATTATTAAGGGTAATACTTTTCTTATGTTACATAAGAGAAATGTTATCTCTGATACTCACATTTTTCAAGTGACTCTCACAAGAATTTATTTCTCACCTCCAACTTTTTTTTTCTCTCCTAATTATTATTTGAGTAAGAGATAATAGGGGTGTTCATCAATCGACTCAAACTGATTCAAACCGCGGTGACGAAACCGAAAAACTGATAACCGAATATACCAAAAACCGAAAAACCGAGAACCGGAAAAAAACCGCAAATTTTAATTGGATTTTGTAACACCCCGTATATATCCGGTAATGTTATCATAATATCGTATTATGCTGCGCTTAATTAAAATGCGGAATTACTTTTTCTTTTCAATTATGATGCCATTAACATTACCAACCTGTTTAATAATCAATTAAGAAAATATCGCCTGTATGTGATTGCAATAAAACAGCTAACTGAAATACCTCATAACATAGATAAAATAAGTGTGGCTCTAGTCACGGAACTACAACAATGTAGACCGGACCATCTAACAGTTTATACAACTCCAATCTAAAAAGTACTAACAGAGAGTGTCATGGACAATCCCCATGCTCACTCAAATAAGGCAACATGCCCAACATCAGTCTCAACAACAACATAATGATAAAAGGCATAAAACATAATCAACATCAATATCCAGTCATGCTAACAAATAAGCAGAAACAACATAATCAGCTAAGCTCCGGCCTCCTGCCGCCTGCATCAGTGCCCATACTACCTGATCCTGAAATAAGCATTCCCCAAACGTGGGGTAAAATCTCTAATCTAGAAATCTCAGTAAGTCAGTGAGTCCTCAAGGATCTTCCACCCCAAGCTCACTTACATGTGCAATATAAGTTCAAAAGCAGTTTATCATTTATCATTTCTAAAACAATGCAATGCAGCAGATAATCATGTCATGTGTGTCAATACTAATCTACTGGCCAGAGACAATGCAGGTATACGTCTATCACCTACACACCGTGCAAGTACCACTTGCATTCACCCCGGTATACCGTCTTGTATGGCGCTACATACTCAGGCTTCCCGTCAAGATGAAACAACACATGCATATTAAAAGCCATTACATGTAAAGTTCAATCAACATATCAAATATCCAAAAGCATGTACTCAGCATGCATAAACCATACCCACATGGGACATGGTGGAACCACAACATGGCTAAACCGAGGACACGAAAGCTTACCTCTAAGCCAGCTATCCAATGCCACAAGCTCAAAGTCCAATCACAGCAGATCACAATCTGATATGGACCAAATATAAATCAATAAACATGTACCACATGCATACAAATTAAAGACAACGCCTTTTCATTGCGTTTTCAAGTCTTAAAGCTTCTAACAAAGCCGCAAGCCCTTAATCCCATGATTCTGGCTTAGTCCATTAAATACAAAAGTTCAACTTCATCAAACTAGGGTCCACAAACCCCTAATAGCCTACTGTACACACAACACAGCTACTGTTCTGCGAAATCCCAGAATATCCGGATATTCCTCGGGACCATATCCGGATATTCAATATCCAGATATCCAGAATCCCATATCCGGATATCTAATATCCGGATACTCAAAACCCATATCCGGATATTCATCGGGCACATATCCGGATATTTCACGACAGAATGCAGAAAATGCATTTCGTGAAGATATCCTTCCAAGGTTGGGTTTTTAACGATTTAAAGCACCTAAACATGCATTTCTAGGTGTGTTCAACATTACCCAACAACAAGTTATCATCTTTAAGCCTTAACATGCATCAAGCTTTCATTTTTAAACTTAAAGACTCAAGATCAAAGGTGATGAAGCTTACCAAAGCTCAAACTCAGAAAAAGGGTGCTCTTGGAGCTCACACAACAGCTCCAAGGTCCTGTTCTCACTGTACACGAAAATAGTGCACAAAGGTGGTTCTTTTACACAACAAGGAAGCTCCTTGAAGCTTCAAAACACCTAAGGAAAGCTCCCTCCTTCCCAAAACGTGAAAACAGCAAGCTCACCCTCTCAAGACAGAAGCCAAACTCAGAAATGAAGTCTCTTTCTCACTCACAAGGATTGTTCACACTCACCCAATGTGTTTACAAGAGAAAAAGTGAAGAATCAAGGAAGAAAAGGAAGGAGAAAACCCAAAGGCTGTGTTTCTGGTCAGCCACCAACACAACTCACGTAGCAAAAATCTGGTATCTAGGGCAATGTGCCCTTAATAAGGGTATTTATAGCCCAAAAGCACTTAAACACACAGTATTAACTTTAATTTCTACGCTTAGCATTTTAATCCCAAACTTTGAAATCTGAAACTACACAATTTTCTAAGATTTATCATATTTTTCTGAGCAATTTTTCGGTACGCGCTTTTCCAAGCCAGTACTGGTTTCTAGCATCATTTCTCATTATTTGGACTTGAAACTCGTTTTACAAGTCCTACATATCATTCTAGTAATTATCATGCACTTACCTTAATTTTTCGGGACACTTTTTCGGTACTACTTTATACCGACTAGCAGAACCGGTATCTGCACTTTTCTTTCGAAAAACGACTTTCAGCATTATTACTCACTTACTATAATTATTAAAGCCTCATAATAATTATTAGGGTCAATTATGGAATCATTTCTTATTTTCTCATAATTTATTAATTAAATTCCTTAATTAACGGTGCGGGTCCTTACAGATTGGATCGATTTTCGGATGGGTTGACCGATCAAATCCAAACCGATCCAATATATTAATTTTCTTCTACCTACTTGGATCTTTCCCCAATCATAATCCAAAAATTTCTAAACCCAAGACCCATCAACTAAACCCAAGAAAAAATCTAATCACATCTCATCAACAAAAATTCAACTGTGTAGAGCTTCATATCTCATTGCCAAAAAAAAACTATATTATCTTTTATTGATGCTTTTGTATTTAAAAAAAATAAAATTACAAAG